ACACCGTTCACCTAATTTGGATGTAAATACCCTCAAATTAAAGCTGACAGTCTGCAGTTAAAGCACATCTTGTTCGTTTGATTTCAAATCCATTGTGGTGATGTATAGAGCCAAAAATGTTAGAATCGTGTCACTGTCCCAATATTTATGGACCTGACTGTATGTCATGAATTTTTTTCAGTAGCAGTTCACTATTCATTTGACTAGCATTTTAAATTTGTGGTAGATAATGGAAGGGTTAAACCACCTAACCATTATTTTCTATCATTCAGAGACTGTTGGTGAGATCTCCGCTATGTTCCCTGGCCTGTACACCAGCTCTGGCTATTATTAGAGGTTCCAACATATCCCAATGAGGTTTTAATTTGTTTTCATGCCAATTGAGGCATGTGGCTGCTTTAGAATGAGGTGCAGAAAAATTCTTTGCTCTGGTTTGGAGATGTGAATATAGTATATGTTGTTGAGGCATTAGACATGATGTTACCTTGAAGAAGAGAACATACATTTCCTCAAAATGTCAGCTTTTAACTTGCACTAGGTTGGTTCTGTGGAATCTAGGGCATGGGCATTGCCACATGGGAGAAAGCAGTATGTCTATGGTCTGATTAAATGAAGAAGGTTCCCAGGGATATCTTGAGAGCTACTATATACAATGGGCTTCCTATGGTGCCTTTGTAATGTGCCATACATTTTCTTCAGTAGCAGTTCACTATTGCCTTGATTAGCATTTTGAAGAGTCACAGCACATAAAACTCTTTCAATTTTGGTAGATAATGGAAGGGCTTAAGCACCTTTTCTATCACTTGGAAACTCCATTGGTGAGTTCTGCGCAAAGTTCCCGGGACTGTACAGTAGCTATGGCAATTATAAGAGGTTCCCACTCACCCTGATTGGGCTTTAATTTAAAGATGATGTGGGGGGGATCCTTTGCTCTGATTGGGAGATATAAGCATATAAGGTTGTATTATTATACAGGATTTATACAGCGCCAACAGTTTGCACAGCGCTTTACAAAATGAAAGTAGACATTACAGTTACAATACAATTTGGTACAGGAGGAAACAGAGGGTCCTGCTCGTTAAAGCTTACAATCTAGGAGGAAGGGTTGAGTGATACAAAAGGTAATAGCTGTGGGGGGATGAGCTGATGGAGGAAATAAAAGGTAGTTTACTAGTTAGAAGCAAGATAGGCTTCTTTAAAGAGAAAGGTTTTCAGGGATCGTCTAAAGGTGAATATATTAGGAGATAGCTGGACAGATTGGGGTAGGAAGTTCAATAGGATGGGAGAAGCTTGGGAGAAGTCCTGGAGGTGAGCATGGGAGGAGGTGACACAGGAACTAGAGAGCAGAAGTTCTTGGGAGGATCGAAGAGGGAGGTTTGTTTGATATTTTGAGACCAGGTTGGTGATGTAGCTGGGGGCAGAGTTGTGGATGGCCTTGTAAGTTGTTGTTAGTATTTTGAATTTTATTCGTTGGGTGAGTGGAAGCCAGTAGAGGGATTGGCAGAGAGGGGTAGCGGACACTGAACGATTGGTAAGTTTGATGAGCCTTGCAGCAGTATTCATGATGGACTGGAGGGGGGATAGCCCATGTAAAGGTAAGCCAATGAGGAGACAGTTTCAGTAGTCGAAGCGAGTGATAACCAGGGAGTGAATTAGGAGCTTTGTGGTATCATTGATTAAAAGGGGGTCTATTCTGGAGATGTTTTCGGAGGTTGAGGCAGCATGATTTGGACAGGGATTGGATGTGGGTATGAAAGGATAGTTCAGAATCCAGGATTACCCCTTAGCACCCTGGCATACTGGGATGGACTGATAGTGGTGCTATTGATCCTGACCGAGAAATCAGGGGAAGAGGCACGTGGGGGAGGAAATATTATGAGCTAAGTTTTCGATAGATTGAGTTTTAGGTAGTGGTGTGACATCCAGTCTGATATGTCTGTTAGCAAATCAGTGACACATGAGGAAACTGATGAGGTGAGCTGAGGAGTAGAGAGATAGATTTGTGTATCATCAGCATAGAAATGGTATTGGAAACCATGGGAAGTTATCAACTGACCCAAGGAGAAGTGTAGATCGAGAATAGGAGAGGTCCAAGGACAGAACCTTGGGGGAACCCGACAGTAAGAGGTGTAGGAGAGGAGGAAGAGTTGTAAGTTACACTGAAGGTACGGTGAGATAGGTAAGTGTCAGGGCTCCCAGGTGTGACCAGAGGTGTGTGGCTGACGCAGGGAAACGCAGACCTCAGATATGTTATAAACAATATAATTTATTAACACTAACAATACAAACATAAACGCAGTGCAATACTAAAACATAATACAGTGCAACCAAACCAAACCAACCAACCACCCACAGATAACAGTACATACAAGCAAGCGTCGTCAGGCAGGCCGGGTCAATATCAATAGGGCAGGTAGGTACAGGGGGAGCAAGCGGAGATTGGTCGGGGTCACAGGCCAGGTTCAGCAGGTAGCAAGCAGCGTAGTACAGAGGGTCAGGCAGAGGGATGGTCAGGGTCACAAGCCAGGGATCAGAACAGGTAGCAAGCAGCGTGGTACAGAGGGTCAGGCAGAAGGATGGTCAGGAGCGAGCCGGGATCAGAGCAGGAGAAGTCAGCAGCGGTTCAGAAACAGGATGCAGGACAGAAACAGGATACAGGGCCCAGGACAAACACAACACCAAGGCAGAGTCTGTGGATCTGGCCATCCCTTAAATACCCCAGCATAATCAGTTCCAGGTGTTAGCTGGCTGCAAAGTTGAGTCTCTGATTGCTGGGAGCATCCGCTGGCCAGCCCTGGTACTGCAGATCAAAAGGCAGGTGAGTCCCACCATTGCTGGCCAGTCCATTCCTGACAGTAAGATTCAAACCAACGGAGAGTACAGTCACGGAGACCAAATAAATAGAGGTTTTTTTTGAGGAGGAGGTGGTCAACTCTGTCAAAGGCAGCAGAGAGGTCCAAGAGTAAGAGTATGGAACAGTGACCATTGGTTTTAGCGGTTAGCAAGTCGTTATTCACTCCCTAGTTATATCTTGCTTTGACTATTGTAACTCCCTCCTCATTGGCTTACCTAATCGCAGGCTATCCCCTCTTCAGTCCATCATGAATGCTGCTGCCAGACTCATCCACCTTACTAACTGTTCTGTATCTGCCACCCCTCTCTGCCAATCCCTCCACTGGCTTCCCATTGTCCAAAGGATAAAATTCAAAACATTAACAATAACATATAAAGCCATTTATAACTCTGCCCCAAATTACATCACCAATCTTGTCTCCAAATACCACCCAAACCATACTCCTTGCAAGACCTCCTGCTCTCTAGCTCTCTTGTATCCTCCTGTCAGGGCTCCCAGGTATGACCAGAGATGTGTGACTGATGCAGGGAAACGCAGACTTCAGAAATGTGATAAACAATATAATTTATTAACACTAACAGTACAAACATAAACGCAGGGCAATACTAAACATACTACAGTGCAAACAAACCAAACCAACCACCCACAGATAACAGTACATACAAGCAAGCGTCGTCAGGCAGGCCGGGTCAATATCAATTGGGCAGGTAGGTACGGGGGGAGCAAGCAGAGAATGGTCGGGGTCACAGGCCAGGTTCAGCAGGTAGCAAGCAGCGAGGTACAGAGGGTCAGACAGAGGGGTGGTCAGGGTCACAAGCCAGGATCAGAGCAGGAGAAGTCAGCAGCAGTTCAGATCAGGGTCAGCGAAGGAACAGAAACAGGATGCAGGACAGATACAGGGCCCAGGACAAACACAACACCAAGGCAGAGTCTGCAAGTCTGGCCATCCCTTAAATACCCCAGTATCATCAGTTCCAGGTGTTAGCTGGCTGAAAGGTTGAGTCTCTGATTGCTGGGAGCACCCGCTGGCCAGCCCTGGTACTGCAGATCAAAAGGCAGGTGAGTCCCACCATTGCTGGCCAGTCCATTCCTAACAGTACCCCCCCCTCAAGGAGCGGCCTCAGGACGCTCCAAACAGTCCTAGCTGGGCAAAATGTTCCACCGCCCGGGTCTGGCAACTGGCGGGATAGCAAAGACTGGCACACCGGGCAGGACTCCGGGCAGCGGCACACCGGGCTGGACTCCGGGCAGCGGCACATCGAGCAGAGGCACTCCGGGCAGAAGCACACCGGGCAGAGGCACATCGGGCAGGACTCCGGGCAGAGGCACATCGGGCAGAGGGACATCAGGCAGGACTCCGGGCAGAGGCACATCGGGCAGAGGCACATCGGGCAGAGGCACATCGGGCAGGACTCCGGGCAGAGGCACATCGGGCAGAGGCACATCGGGCAGAGGCACATCGGGCAGAGGCACATCGGGCAGAGGCACATCGGGCAGAGGCACATCGGGCAGGATTCCGGGCAGAGGCACATCGGGCAGGACTCCGGGCAGAGGCACATCGGATTACCAGGCGGAGCAGCAGGCACCGGGCCCCCGGGCGGGGCGACAGGCACCGGGCCCCCGGGCGGGGCAGCAGGCACCGGGCCCCCGGGCGGAGCAGCAGGCACCGGGCCCCCGGGCGGAGCAGCAGGCACCGGGCCCCCGGGCGGAGCAGCAGGCACCGGGCCCCCGGGCGGAGCAGCAGGCACCGGGCCCCCGGGCGGAGCAGCAGGCACCGGGCCCCCGGGCGGAGCAGCAGGCACCGGGCCCCCGGGCGGGGCGCCGGGCATCGTGCCCCCAGGCGGGGCGACGGGCATCGTGCCCCCAGGCGGGGCGACGGGCATCGTGCCCCCAGGCGGGGCGGCGGGCGCCGTGCCCCCAGGCGGAGCGACAGGTCTCGGGCCCTCAGGCGGAGCGGCGGGCGCCGGACCCCCAGGCGGAGCGACAGGTCTCGGGCCCTCAGGCGGAGCGGCGGGCGCCGGACCCCCAGATGGAGCGACAGGTCTCGGGCCCTCAGGCGGAGCGGCGGGCGCCGGACCCCCAGGTGGAGCGACAGGTCTCGGGCCCTCAGGCGGAGCGGCGGGCGCCGGACCCCCAGGCGGAGCGACAGGTCTCGGGCCCATAGGCGGAGCGGCGGGCGCCGGACCCCCAGATGGAGCGACAGGTCTCGGGCCCTCAGGCGGAGCGGCGGGCGCCGGACCCCCAGGTGGAGCGACAGGTCTCGGGCCCTCAGGCGGAGCGGCGGGCGCCGGACCCCCAGGTGGAGCGACAGGTCTCGGGCCCTCAGGCGGAGCGGCGGGCGCCGGACCCCCAGGTGGAGCGACAGGTCTCGGGCCCTCAGGCGGAGCGGCGGGCGCCGGACCCCCAGGTGGAGCGACAGGTCTCGGACCCTCAGGCGGAGCGACAGGTCTCAGGCCCCCAGGCGGGGCGGCGGGCGCCGGATCCCCAGGCGGAGCGGCGGGCGCTGGACCCCCAAGCGGAGCAACAGGTCTCGGGCCCCCAGGCGGAGCGGCGGGCACCGAGTCACCAGGCACGACAGTGGGCTCCGAGTCAACTGGTATGACCCGCGGGCACTGGGTCAGACATTGGATCGTCTGACTGGACAGCGGGCACTGGGTCACCAGGCATCAGGTCATTTGGCTCGACAGCGGGCACCGCGTCATCCGGCAAGGCAGTGGGCTCCGAGTCTACTGGTATGACCGCGGGCACTGGGTCAGACATTGGATCGTCTGACTGGACAGCGGGCACTGGGTCACCAGGCATCAGGTCATTTGGCTCGACAGCGGGCACCGCGTCATCTGGCAAGGCAGTGGGCTCCAAGTCAACTGGTATGACCGCGGGCACTGGGTCAGACATTGGATCGTCTGACTGGACAGCGGGCACTGGGTCACCAGGCATCAGGTCATTTGGCTCGACAGCGGGCACCGCGTCATCTGGCAAGGCAGTGGGCACCGGGTCACCAGGCATTGGATCGTCTGGCTCGACAGCGGGCATCGGGTCACCAGGTATGACAGCGGGCACTGGGTCACCAGGCATCAGGTCATTTGGCTTGCCAGCGGGCACCGCGTCATCTGGCAAGGCAGTGGGCACCGGGTCACCAGGTATGACAGCGGGCTCTGAGTCAATTGGCACGACAGCGGGCACTGGATCAGGTACCGGATCATCTGGATCAACAGCGGGCATCGAGTCAACTGGCCTAATAGGATCGTCGGGCTGGATCAGTTCATCATGCTGAGTAGCGGCATCAGGCTGAATGTAGGCATCAGGCTGAGGAGAGGCATCAGGCTGAAGAGAGGCATCAGGCTGAAGAGAGGCATCAGGCTGAAGAGAGGCATCAGGCTGAAGAGAGGCATCCGGCTGAAGAGAGGCATCAGGCCGAGTAGAGGCTTCAGGCTGAGGAGAGGCATCAGGCTGAGTACAGGCATCAGGCCGAGTAGAGGCTTCAGGCTGAGTAGAGGCTTCAGGCTGAGTAGAGGCTTCAGGCTGAGTAGAGGCTTCAGGCCGAGTCACGGAAGGCAGGCTCACCGGTTTGGATACTGGCAGGATGGTATTGGTTGGAAAGAATTTTCGCTTTTTTCTGGTTTTAACTACTGGAGCACTGCAAGTAAACGCAGGTCTGCAAACGAATGGAGCAGCTGGAGACAGAGAAAAACTGGAGGATGGAACAGGAGAGGGAGCAGTTGCTACAGAGGGCTCTTTTACAGGGTTAAAGGCAGGATAGGTGCAGCGAGTGGGAACAGGGTACTGACATGCGGTAGATAGCAGGGCAGGAGGAGCTGGTGGGAATACAGGAGTAGAGTTAGAAGCAGGACTGGGTCTTTGTAAGCTGACTGAGGCTGGGTGCAACAAGTCTGTCCATGTCTGCAGTAGGGGTTGAACAAAGCTGAGCTTACACAAAGTCTGTCTGGTCAATGACTGCACTGCGTTGATACAATCTCTTAGTGTCTGTGGTGAACATGTGGAGTAACGCTCCAAAAGGTAACCCACATCATCCTCTAATAACCACACCAGGGACTCTACCTGGTCTGCACTAAATGGTGGCAAAAATTCATCCCTGCATTCGGGGGGAAACCAGATGAAACCAACTCTGCACAAACCTCAATCAATGGCTGCACCTCAGAGAACACTGTGCCCTGATCTACTAGAACATGAGCGAGCCGTATACATTCTAGCAATTCATCCCGGGTATACTCCTTCAGAGTTTGATAAGCATACTCCCTGTCATCAAACACTAGCAGATATAAATACTCAACCTCATCAAGATCCATCCTTCCCATCAACAAGCCAAGATGGCTTCCTTCCCTGTGCAGCCACTTCTGGTCAGGATTGGCCTTGGTGTAATGTCAGGGCTCCCAGGTATGACCAGAGATGTGTGACTGATGCAGGGAAACGCAGACTTCAGAAATGTGATAAACAATATAATTTATTAACACTAACAGTACAAACATAAACGCAGGGCAATACTAAACATACTACAGTGCAAACAAACCAAACCAACCACCCACAGATAACAGTACATACAAGCAAGCGTCGTCAGGCAGGCCGGGTCAATATCAATTGGGCAGGTAGGTACGGGGGGAGCAAGCAGAGAATGGTCGGGGTCACAGGCCAGGTTCAGCAGGTAGCAAGCAGCGAGGTACAGAGGGTCAGACAGAGGGGTGGTCAGGGTCACAAGCCAGGATCAGAGCAGGAGAAGTCAGCAGCAGTTCAGATCAGGGTCAGCGAAGGAACAGAAACAGGATGCAGGACAGATACAGGGCCCAGGACAAACACAACACCAAGGCAGAGTCTGCAAGTCTGGCCATCCCTTAAATACCCCAGTATCATCAGTTCCAGGTGTTAGCTGGCTGAAAGGTTGAGTCTCTGATTGCTGGGAGCACCCGCTGGCCAGCCCTGGTACTGCAGATCAAAAGGCAGGTGAGTCCCACCATTGCTGGCCAGTCCATTCCTAACACCTCCTCCCATGCTTGTCTCCAGGACTTCTCCAGAGCTTCCCACATCCTCTGGAATTCTCTACCCCAATTTATCAGACTATCGCCTACTCTGCTCACTTTTAGGCAATCTCTGAAAACCTATCTCTTCAGGGAAGCCTATCCTGCCCTCAGCTAATAATGGATTCTTCTACTCCTCTAACCAGTCCATCCCCCACAGTTACTACCTTGTGTACCACCAGCCCCTCCCTCCTAGATTGTTAGCTCCAAGGAGCAGGGCCCTCCTATCCCTTGAACTGTATTGTTGCTGTATTGTCTCCCGTTATATTGTAAAGCGCTGAGCAAACTGTTAGCGCTATATAAATCCTGTATAATAATAAAAGTTTTGTGAGTTTTAGGACAACAGTTTCTGTGGAGTGCTGTGGGCAAAATCCAGACTGAAGGAGATCAAGAAGGTTATTCTCAATAAGGTGGCATCTCAGCCGGTTTTAGACTAGACATTCAAGGAGTTTGGAGGCAAAGGGATTAAGGAGATAGGTCTTAGGTTGCTAAGATTTGTGGGGTCCAGTGAGGTCTTTTTAAGTATGGGGGTGACTAGCACATGTTTTAGAGAGTTGGGGAAGATGCCAGTAGAAAGGGAGAGATTGAGTTAAAGAATGAAGGATAGAGCCAGAGGGTGACCATAGTATTTGCGAGGGAACAGGGTCCAGAGGACAGGTGGTTAGGTGGCTTTAGAAAAAAGTTTACCAACCTCCTCTAAAGTAGCTGGGTTAAACAAGGGAAGTATAGATTGTGCAGGTGGACAAGGAGTGTAGGGTGAGGGAGATATCTGTACAGTGTGGAGATCGCGTCACAAATTGTATCAATCTTATTTTTGAAGTGATTATCGATCTCATGGGCAGTAAGTGAGTTAGTGGGTGGAGGTAAAGAAGGAAGAAGTAGAGAGTTAAAGGTACAAAAGAGTTGACAAGGATTACGTGAAAGGGTGTTAATGAGAGTGATAAAATAGGTCTGTTTGGAAGTGTGGAGACAGAAATTATACTTTGAAGGGCAGATTTATATTGGTTGAAGTCCTGCTGAGTTTTAGTCTTACGCCATAAACGCTCAAGAGCACGGCTACATTTTTTGATGCATCTGAGATTGTCTGTTTGCCAGGGCTGTAGTGGACGGGGCCTAATTCTGTGTGCAGTGAAGGGGGCCAATGCGTCCATGGTGGATGACAGTAAACTATTGTATACAGAAGTGGCCAAGTTGGGGCAGGACAGGGCTGAGATTTTGTCATAGAGACAATCTGTTTGCCGAAAAAAAGAAGAGAAGGGTTAAGATAGCAAAGGTTTCTACAGCAGGTGTTGCCTGAAGAGCTTGAAGTTGGAGTCCTGAAGAGACTGCATTGAGATCTCACACTCCTCCTGTCCACTAGGGTGCCTGTGTCTTCCGAAGTGCTCTTCCTGGGAAATTGGGTGCTGGTACCTTTAAGGCTGTCTTATGCCCATGCTGCCATGTTAAATGACTCTAGTGACATTTTAAGATGAGGGAAAAACCAACCTCCAATGGTGTAGTAAAACTGTACTTTATTAATTAAAAAACACACTCACGTTATGGTAAAATCAACCAGCATATCATAAAACTGTACATGGATACAGCTACTGCTTTGTAAAATGCAACTTCCCATAGGCACCACCCTATGCATTGCGTAACAGATCATGTGACTTTATCATACTAGTTGCCTGGCTTTCAGGTTGGTCCACATGCTTCAATGCTTTCTAAGTCACTTACCTTAAATCTGAATTGTCCTTGTTCTTGGCCAGCGACTCAGGAATTTTCTGAAGCCAAACACAGTCAGACAATTGGCCTATTATAAAGGTCTCCTACATATTTCTTTTCGGTGTGTGTAGAGTACATAGCATACATATGTATAGTATAGTGTAGTATAGTATAGTATAGTATAGTATAGGCAGCACTGTGGTTAAGTGGTTAGCCTGGCAGCACTAGGGTTGATGGCTCGACTCCCAACCATGACACTACCTGCCTAGAGTTTGCATGTTCTCCCTGTACCTGCGTACTCCATTTTCCTCCCACACTTCAAAGACATGCTGGTTAATTGGCTCCTGTCTAATTTGGCCCATGTATGAATGTGAGTTAGGGACCTTATATTGTGAGCTCCTTGGGGGCAGGGACTGATGTGAATATACTGTACAATACATGTATAAAGCAATGCGTAAATTGAAGGTGTTATATAAGTACCTGTAATAATAATGAATAAATAGTACAGCTTGTACACCGTCCCTCCTCAATTGGGTACATGTGATGAATGACATGAGAATGGAAGGACTCCTTGCCCAAGAACAGGAAACATCAGAAAAGTTTTTTGCTTTATGGACAGCCTGCATCTTCTATTCCTCCTCTGAACCTCTAAAACAAAAACTGCATGAAGCGCACAGTTAAGGTGTGGATCACTGGCCTCCTGTCACTCGGTTAGTTACACCACATATGGTATTCCACGGGGTTGTTCCAGACTCCTCCACACTCCTCTTTCTATTCTTTCTCTTTCTTCTTTTCTTTCCGTTCCATTACATTTTCTTCATATTTAAAGTTTTAATATGTATACCCTGTTTGACTTACATTTATTATATGGCCTTGAATGAGATCGGCATCTATGTTACTGTAAGGTTTCTGTTTAACCTCCCTGGAGGTATTCCCGAGCTACACTTGGGGTAAAGTTTCAGCACCACAAGCAGTAACCCTGAGCTACACTCGGGAATACCTTGCAGCGTTGCTCC